GAGAGAGAGAGAGAGAGAGAGAGAGAGAGAGAGAGAGAAAGAGACAGAGACACAGAGAGAGACAGAGAGACAGAGAGACAGAGAGACAGAGAGAGACAGAGACAGAGACAGAGACGGGGGAGGGAGAGAGAGGGAAAGAAAGGGAGAGAGAGTGAGAGATAGGGAGAGAGAAGGAGAGAGAGAGACTGGGGTAACTTACAGGTTCTTTCCCATCCATGGCCTCCATCCATAGCCTTCTATTGGCTTCTGAAGGCGCCTGCAGAGTGATGGTTCCTGGTCTGTGTGGCAAAAAGAAAAGTTTAAATCAAAAAATTTTCCTGAGAGAATGGTATCTTGTGCTTCTTTCATCGTTTTTATGTAATTTGAATTAGTGGATAGTCATTGTAAAAAATGATGGATTTTATTAGAACATTTTCATACATGCACGCAATGTATTTCACAAACCAGATTCTGAACATCTATACTATCAGGCCTCTTCTCTGTGAAAAATTGCTCCAAACTTTTTTTTTATTCTATTTACTTGTTGGCCATCTACTATGGTCTGGAAATATAAATACATACCCACACACACCCTCCAAAAATTCCTATATTAAACGTAATCACCAATGAGACAATAATAATAAATTGAGTCTTCAGGAAGTGACAAAACACCTTTACAGAAAAGTTTGAAGAGGTGGGTCCATCCCCTTCTATCCCTTCTTCCATGTGAAAACAAGAAATGTGTTCTTTCTGGGGGATGAAAAAGCAAGGTACAATCCTGGAAACAAAGATTCCCAGACTCCAAACCTGCTAACCCTGTGATCTTGAACTTTTTTTTTTTTTTCGAGACAGGGTTTCTCTGTGTAGCTTTGGTGCCTGTCCTGATCTTGCTTTGTAGACCAGGCTGGCCTCGAACTCACAGAGATCCACCTGCCTCTGCCTCTCCAAGTGCTGGGATTAAAGGCGTGTGCCACCACCGCTTGGCGATCTTGGACTTTCAACTTTAGAACTCTAAGAAAGAAATTTCTGATGCTTATGTATAACCCATTCTTAGGTATTAAAGCAATGAATGGACAACACTGTTTTTATCCAGATACATTAAAGATTGATATACCTAGTATAATATATTCTGACTTTCAGAACCAAACTGGGCACTTGGGGTTGACCATATCACTGAAAGCTTGAAGTCTTGGTGCAGTCTCTAGCTAGCTTGCCTCTCAGCTTTCTGTATCGTTCAGCCTCACTCGGAGTTGCAGAATGTAAGAGCAATAACAAGAACATTCAGCAGTGCTGGGTTAATCACCATGCCTCTCTGCACTGCCACTTCTTCATCTCTAAGGATGCTGGACCATACACTCTGGGAAGTACTTCCCAGTGCTGACATCAGGGGATTCCTGTCATACTTGCCAGTTTCATTCAAAATACCCTTTAACCGGCAAGCCAAATGATCTTTAAGATAAAATTAACCAAAAGCCAGCACTTGGCTCTAGAAACTAGACCCTTTCAAATTTATCTTTCTCTAAGGACCTCATCCTTCGGGATATATATTGCAGGACTGGAAAGTCTAGGGATCTCTATGAAGATAGCTATCAGCCAAATTGCAAAGCCAAATGGAAGGAGAGCAAGCAAATGAACAACAGACATGAAAAACAGACAGGCAGAGAAAGAAACGCTCTGGAGCCACTCATCAAATCCAGCTGCCGTGGGCTCACTTTTGACCGTAGAGAGAGCCTAGAAGTATAAATGTACGACTCTTAGGGAAGCATTTGGAGATTCTTTAGTGCTACACATAGTCAAATTCAAATAATAGTATTAAGGACAAGAGAAGAGACTGGAAAAAGGACTAAGTTCTAGTCCAGCCTCCCTCACATAGGATTCATTATGACCTTAGACAAATTGTTTGTCCTCCTGGAAGTTCCAGTTGCCCATCCGGAACCAATAGGCAATATATGGCACATATGCAGTAGAGTACAATGGTTAAGGAGGTGGCCTTCCTTAGAGATTCAAACACCTGGACTCAGGCCCCAGCTCTACCATTTAGTAGCTGCGTTATTCTTTGCTTACTTCTCTTCCTTTATGAACGTGAGGTAGTAGTAACCTCTACTCTGATGATGAAAACTAAAGAAAATTACATTTAAAGGGCTGAGAACAGGGTCTGACAGGCAGGAGGCACTTGGAAAGCAACATCACTTGCTAAAATTATCGTTAAGTCCCTCCAAACTCTTGTGAGATATGAGCCTACAATTTCAAGTATTGGAACAAACATTAATTTATGTAATGCTATTCGATCTTTCTGAACTAGAAAAAAAATGGATTAATAGACCTTTGCATGGCACTCCAGAAAGTATGAGTTAATGTGTGTGGTACGTGCCAGGAAGCCTGGCTCTTTTGAGATCAGATAGACAAGTAAGGGAAGTAGCTGCCACAGACCTGACAAAGTCCCTCTTGCAGACAGATGTGTCAGCATGTTTTCATTATGATATTGACTATTCTAATCAATAACGACATAAGACAACAAAGGAAATGACTGTGGCGACCCACAGACCAGGGTTCTGCCTTGCTACAGAGTCAGTTAATATATTTGAGGCTTGGTGTCCTGACAGTAGCCATGTCAGAGGAACAGCAAATGGCAATTGACTTCAGGGGATCAATCCACCAGGAAACAAAACCCTGATGGGTAAATTTCAGATAGGCAAGGCCCTGAGACCACAGACCTCAGAGTGTTTTTTGCTTTTGCTGTGCCTTTACATGTTTGCCATGCCATCTTTCTCTGGTATCTGACATGGTGTGAATGGGTGTGGGGAGAGCCTCACTGCCTGTAATGTAGTGTGTTTATCTCATGGAAATATCCCGTTCTACTGGGCATTTTTACCTGTGGATTATTATGAAGATGATTTCTTCCTAAGTTGTACTGTCTAATTGTTAACAATAATGTTAGTTTAAATAGAATTTTGATGATAAAAATAAAACAAGGAAGTGTCACACAGCTTGAACACATGACTTTATATAGAGGAGCCATATAGACTGTGACTTAGGTTAATGATTATGAAAAACAATTGAGTCCCAGTAGCCCAGCTAGCTTAAATTCTTTTAACTTTAATATTAGGAGATGTGTTCACAGGATTTGGAGTGCATCATAGCTGAAACAAAGCTTTGAAAATACCTTAAAGTTAAATTAAGATGTTTTGTCAAATACTTTGAGGTGAAAAACCCAAGAAGACAATCTGAAGTTTTAGAAAGACACATAGTTGAGTGAGGAACTCTTTAAGGTCAGGGAACAAGAACAAAGCAGCCCAATTATCATTGGCTGACATGCCTTTCTTGGTAGGATTGGTTAATCACCAAAGGTAATGATTAATTCCTTATACCAATTTTTGCCCTCAATCTCCTGATATATGCATATATATATATATATATATATATATATATATATATATATATACTATTGATGAGTCTGTATGCCCCCTAGAGATTTAAAGTAGAGCTGACTGTTTTTCATGTATAAAAGTTTAGGTTTGTGATTCCTTTAAGATTCCTTAAAAGATTACTTTTCAAGATAAGTAATAAAGTGCTTGGCACTTTCTTTGTAACCACAAAATGCAGCCTGCCAGTAAAAGACCTAACTGAAAAGAATACCTTGTTTGCCTACACTATTAATCTACAACAAGTTGCTTGGGTATGCATGTATGTGGGTTTTTTGGGATAATTTGTTTTTCACCTGTAATATGTAAAATGTTTAATCATGTAAGGGATGTGGAAAACATGCGGATTTTTACTTATATTCATTGTAATCATTCACTTGAAAAATAGAATGTAACCACATTGCAATTTTTATATTGCCTGAAAGATTTTGCTGGGGTATATAAGCTATAAGGGAAAGAATAGAGATAAAGTTAGAAGGAAAACATCATCAAGAATGAGTGAAGGAAATTACCAGAAAATAAAGAACAGAGAATACAGAAGAAGAATAAAGAAGGAAACCATCAGGAGAGTGTGTGAGTATCTTTTTCCCCTTACCCCCTCAGATAAAAAAAGTTTAGTACACCGACTCTGTGGATTCCCTTAGAGCTGTGCACTGTTGGATGCTGGGCCCCCAGGCAGCAAAAGTGTCCTCATGTATAAAATGTGGTGAGAGGATTCAATAAGACAATGGTTTTTAAAGTGCAAATAATATGGTAACTAAAGTCACAGATGCATCATAACTTTAATTCCTGGGTTCTACTCTAAAAATTCCTCAGAATTATGGGAAAGAAAATATATATCTATGAATTAACAACAAATTTACCAGCTACAATGAGCCAAGCATAGCACACTGTGCAAGAAATATAAAAATAAAGTGACTCAGTCTGTCATCCAGGGCCAAAGTGTGATTGCTTTGAGTTAGGGATATTATTTACAGGTAGCTGGCAAATTTAAGGTAAAAAGGGAATCAACATGGAATCAGATATGGAAAATTTGATCACTTTTAAGCTCCCTGATGCTGAAGAACCAGAGATGCTACAGGTTCACACAGGGAAGTCAGAGTCCACAGTTGTTTGTCTCATCCTACACGGCCTGATGTTATTGGGAAAATGTGGTTACTGGTAGCAATGTTTAATATCACAGTCCTTTTGACTGGGATCATCTATTTAAAAAAAAGTCATAAACCCACAAACCAAAATCATGAGGGTCCAAACATATCCCAATTTTTAAATAGGGCAACAGACAGTTACTTATTTCCAGATAAGAAAAATGTCCTAATCTCTCAGTCTAACTGATCTTGTTGATATCAGTCCCTAGTGGTTATGATACTATAATTTATTAAGTTCCTTTCTAGCAATCTGATTATTTTACTAAATTCTTCTCTATTACCCAGTGCCTGGTATATAGAAAAAAATGGATAACAATAAGTCATATAACTTATTCATTGACTTTTGGACCAACTTCTTAACCACAAAGCAGGCCTATCACCAAAATAATATCAAATGCTTTTATTTTAAAGGGTAAAGGTATCTTTTGCTTATATATTATGATTTCCAATTTTGTGTTTTTAGGGGATTTTTGGTTTGCCAATGTGTGTGTGTGTGTGTGTGAGTCTATGTGTTTCTTGTGCTTTTTTTTCGGCTCTTTGTTTTTCTGTTCATTTGTTTCTTTTGCCATATTCAAGTTTGTTTTTATTTTATCTATTTTTTTCCTTTTTTTAGATGCCTGTATGTTTTCTAATAAGAGAGCAAGAAAGGGTATAGATTTGGATGGGTGGGGAGATGGGAAGGATCTGGGATGAGCTGGGAGAGTGGGAATCATAACTAGAATATATTTTATGAAAAAAAATCTATTTTCAATTTTAAAAAAATATAAGGTATAATTATCCTTCATTAAACTCTTCATGTTCAGAGGAGAGAAAAAGAAGGCATTGGAGAAAAACAATATAATCATGCCCCAAATTTTCTAGCAGTGGTTCTAATATTTGGGGTCAATAAACTATTCTAGTTTACACACATATTGTCAAAGTAGGAAAAGCTTGCATCATTTTACAATAGATATGAAAAAAATCCCCAATACCACCTCTACTCTTCACTCTATCTGTCTTCCTTTAAAAAGTGTGCCAATCTACTTCCTAAGTTATAATAACAGCGGCTTAAAAAGAACAAGCATGATTATTCTGTCAGTTTTGCACCACTGAGAAAAAACAAATTTTTGCATATATGACAGCAAATGAAATTCTAGGAAAGACTTTTTCTGTCCAGAGACAGTGAGGAAAATGTGGTTGAGAGATATATAGAAAACGAAAACACAAACAAACCAGCCCTGGACCTGGTATAACAGAGACCCTTGTGAAGGGCAGACTGAGGGGCAGGACAACCACTGGCCTATCTATAAATTGCTTATTTTCAGCAACAAGGAATAAGAGAAGAAAATACAAGACCCAGCCAAACTGATGGTGGTACACAGTAACCCCATAAATTCCCAGCATCACAACTCACCTCTCATTAGTTTCTATATCAAAACAGAACCTCTTGTCAATCGACTCTGTCTTCCTTCTCACGCAGTATTTCAAAGTTAAGTCCACGGGTCCCTGGTAGGAGAGAAGTATTAACAGACACTTAGTAAAAATGCACAGTTGCTTCTTCTGTCTCCTGTAGTATCCTCAGGGTCACTTGGATGATGTTGACCAAGACAGCAGGAGCAATGTGTTGAGTCACTGAGAAGCTTTACCTTCAAATCTTGCAATAACATGGTAGATGGCTTCTCGCTGTTCTAAGCATAAGTGGCCAAGACCAGGGGAATATGCTCAGGGTGTTCTTTCCCAAGCACAGCAGATTCAATACGAAGTCCAGTACACATCATCTAAGGGCAGTGCAGGAGAAATGGATTGCCCAAATGGCATTAAGTATACATAATAAAATTTTCATGAGGCTTCTGAGAAGGGAAGCTGCAATTGCATAAGTAGCTATCTGAAATCATCCTTGGAATGTGTGATAAAAGTTGAGTATAGAAGCTTCCTACTGAATGTGGCAGTGCACAACTTCAGGATATCAAAAACCATCAAAACAGTCTCTCCAAAGTAGGAAAAGAGTGGGGAAACAAGCAAATGTTAATCTCAGCAACATTTTTATATTTGATATCCATGGGGTAGTGTGGTTCATAATAGTCCTGCGGGAAAACAAATCTGCCAAACTCGTTGGTGGCCATATACAAACTACATGATCCTCCATTGTTGGTTTTCCTCTCTGATCTCAATAGGGATAATGTGACACCAAAAGCGAGGTTAGGTTTGGTTAACCCTTAAAATGAACCACATACTGTACATGGTATTTTTGATTACTTGCTTGTTCCTTATTTTCTGCATTGGTTTTACACCAATTTCCCTCACTGCAGCAGCCCTTACATAGAGGGGAATCTGAGTGGTAAAATGGTTGATGGTCATGCAAGTTGGTAAGGTCAAAGTAGCATTAACCTAGGAAGCTTAATATCTGGGGTATTGCCTCAGTTATGCCATTTACTAACTATGTGACTCTCAGAAATCAAGTTCCCTCTCTAAGTCTTAACTTCACATTCCATTAAATAACACTAGCACCACTGGCCTACTGTCTCAAAATCAGAAACACTGCTTAAGCTCCAGATCTGTACCTATGGCACTATGCCATCCAAAACAATATGATTCATTGGCAAATACCAATTTACTGAAAGTCAAAAAGGACCTAGATCACAGAGCTAAGTTGTATACCCAGTTCAGACAGACACAGTGGTATACGCACAAGAAGGTCAAGTTCAAGGCTGGTCTGGATCACTCAGTGAGATCCTCTCTCAAAATTTAGACTGTAAAAATAAATGAAACTCAATGAATAAATAATTGCAGATCTTGATGCTCTTTGGTTAACTAACCAGTACTCCTCTCAGTGTGTTTGTCCTTTTAGGGGCCAATCCTTTCTGCTTCCAATACAAGAACTCAACCCTCCATTAACCCTTCAATAGACCATTCTTATCCTAACACATGGGGTGTCATGTACAAGTTTCTTAAGGTGGGTAACAGAGTCATGTAGGCATCCTCCCTCTTTAGCCTTCACACCATTTAGCATCATGTAGCAGCTTAGGATCCTAGGCCTCATCCGCACCACTCCAGCTGCATCTCCAGCCACCACCAAATAGTTTATGGCCTGTAGGTGCAAAACACTTCACATACAAATCATGTTCTTTAATGACTCCATGACATTGCATATACTGTTCTCTCCACCCAAAGTGACTCTTGGTCTGAATAAACTGCTACTTGCCCTATAAACCACACTCAACTTTCCTCCAACTCTACACATGGCCTGCTCCATGCTTTGTAATTCATGTGAAAATACCCTGTTTTCAATGTCTCACTTGACCGAGAAATCCGTAAGGCCATGGATAATGTCTTATGATGGGGGAATGTCTTTTTGTATGTTGTGAAAATGTGTTGCTCTGATTGGTTGATAAATAAAATGCTGACTGGCCAGTATCCAGGCAGGAAGTATGACAAGGAGAATTCTGGGAAGAGGAAGACTGAGTGAGGAGATGCCAGCCCACCATCCAGGGAGCAGCATGTAATGGCACACAGATAAAGCCACAGAACATGTGGTGGCATATAGATTAACAAAAATAGGCTGAGTTTAAATGTACGAGCTCGTCAGTAGGAAACCTGAGCTAATGGTCAAGCAGTTTTAATTAATATAAGCTTCTGTGTGTTTACTTGGGTCTGAGTAGCTGTGGACCGGGTGGGACACAGGAAAACTTTCAGCTACAGTCTTATTCATCTATTTATCTCTAGTCCCTAGTGAACAGGGCTCAAAAGAATTTATGAACACAATCATTATCCTTTTTACTTTTCTGATGAAGAAGATGAACCTGAGTAACATGAAATAATTAACTTGAGGTCAAAAGGCAAGTTTACCATGGAACTAGGATTTAAACCCAGTTCTTTCATGTATGGTTAATTGGGAGGGTGGGGGCAGCACACGTGTAGACTTGGCAGTAAGTGCCCTGACATGCCATGTCACGAGTCACATAAACCCAGATATTTAATCTCAAAATCCATCACTCTTTCTCTTTTCCAGTATGTCTAACATGGAAGGATAAAATTCTGATAAGATAGTGCTTTGGAGGAGACTGTTAAACTGAGCAATATAAATAAGACTTCACAGGTTGAGCTAGTAGGGAACACTGGTAAGTGTCACAGTAAGAAAGAGATTCAATTACTCCATCTACAAACTGGGTTCATAATGTGCTCCACAGTGCTGCTAAGAGAGGAAATAAGGTACATGGTAGCATATATCCTTGGAATACAACTGGCATTCAGGAAAATGTGGTTCTTACACTACTGTTGCTGCTGCTGCTGCTGCTACTACTACTACTACTACTACTACTACTACTACTACTATACTACTGCTGCTACTACTACTATACTACCATCAGTACTACTGTCATCATTGATTCATTTATTTATATTATTTACCTTTCAGGAACATGAACTACTACTAGGCATGGTGTTAGAAGATTGACAAGAAGAAATTATTTCCAAATACAAATTGAATGAATCCAGTAACTGCTTCTATTCAGTCACTACCTTCTAAATGGGAACTGGGTGCCTCTTTCCATTCCTTAAGGAATTCCACATTAAAAGTGGTCAGGCTCAGAGCCAGGCATGCACACCTTTAGTCCCAACACTCAGGAGAGAGAGAGGCAGGGGGATCTCTGAGAGTTCAAGGCAGCCTAGTGTGCATAGTCAGCTCCAGGATAGCCAGAGCTACAGAGACTCTGTCTCACAAAAGAAAATGCCTGCTTAGGCTCACTGTTGGGCTCCCACAAATGCAGTCAATGAAATAAGGGGGAAAGAAAAGCTAAATTGTTCTCATATGCTAGGAGGACACAAAAGTGGTGTCTACTGATTTTGTCCTTGGCACGGTGCTCTTTTGGTAAGGAATGCAAAAAAAATCTAAAAGATATTACTCTCTGTGAGAGGAGAGCTAATGTCCAGACTCCAGATAATAATTTGTATAGAATAAAAAAAAGTGGGGGCTTGGAAAGTAGCTCAGTTATAAGAAGCACAAAGTCCAGGGTTTATCACCAGTACCACATAAACCAGTCATGGTGACACACACGGGTAATTCCAGAACTCAGGAAATGAAGCAGCGGGATAAGAAACTCAAGGTCATGCTTTACATCATAATGAGTCTGAATTCATCCAGGGCTCCTCAAAATCCCATCTCAACAATCCCCATGCTCTAACATGAAATGGCAAAACAAAAGACTGAAGCTAGTATTGCTCATAAGCACTTGCCAATTAGATACAACAGACACATTCAGGCTGATTGGAAACAATTTCTGTGCTATACCCCAAGATGAATTTGCTGACACCTATTGACACATTTACCTAAGGGTGTACCCCAGCTTGAACCTACATTTAAGGTACAATAGAAGGCTCTGTGCTTAAAGACCAAGGCAAAAAGTAGTTTACAACACTGCAATCAAAATCAGTCCCCTCTAGTTTTCTATGCACAAGCTACACATATAGGATTGGTCATCTACAGAAACTATTATTAATAGAAATAGGCAGTTTTCCAAATTTCTGTCTACCTAATTTGGGCCTTCAATTGTATACTTAAAGCTGCCAACAATATGTAAATATTTAAAAGGTGCATACGCACAACATGTATGAGAGCAAATGAAAGGGATACTTTCAGATAACAAATTATGTGAATATCAGTTTTTACCTGTAGAAACATCCATTCATGGAAAGGAGCAGGTTCTTTCCAGGGAGTAAACTACCCTCTCAGTGGTAAACTTACCTTGGCATTTTGAATGGTAGGAGAAGGCTTGAAGAGGAGAGGAAGAAACATGAGCTACTTATAGAGATTTTAATGTGGTATAGGTGATTCTAACTTCAGGCGAGAGAGAGAGAGAGAGAGAGAGAGAGAGAGAGAGAGAGAGAGAAGAAGAAGAAGAAGAAGAAGAAGAAGAAGAAGAAGAAGAAGAAGAAGAAGA